GACGCATGCGTCAAATTACTCAACGAAAATCCGCCGCACACATGAGTAAAATAACTTACGTGTGCGCCGAGCTTAAGAAGTAATTCTGTTACTATAACTTTGCTGGCACACGCAGGAAACATTCAGATTAACTTCGCCAGGAGTCCAGAGAACAACTGCAAGCCGCTGCGCGCTGGCAGCCAGGTGGCGCTACCGGCGTGGCCGCCTCACTCCCTGCTGGGTTCCACAACGGACACGTTCACGTTTAGAATCGGTCCGACGGGCGGCGAGCGAGGCTACACCGCACTCACAGGTGACGTCACGCGATCGGGTGCTCACGGCGAAGCGCCATTTGCGCTATATATAACCAAGAGTGTATAATATAGATACACTATCTATATTATACACTCCTGATATAACTATATACCACATGCGCGTACAGAGTCTAACAGCCTTAACCCTAACCCCAATCCGAATCCAAACCCCAATTTACTTCATTTTTTTACTTTCTAAGTTTTCTCCTAGCACCAGGCCTTACCTATGCGTGTGTTAGTGCACGATATTCGTGCGTTAGTGCACGCTATACGAGTGTTAGTGCACGATATACGTGTGTTAGTGCACGCTATACGAGTGTTAGTGCACGCTATACGTGTGTTAGTGCGCGCTATACGTGTGTTAGTGCACGCTATACGTGTGTTAGTGCACGCTATACGTGTGTTAGTGCACGCTATACGTGTGTTAGTGCACGCTATACGAGTGTTAGTGCACGCTATACGTGTGTTAGTGTACGCTATGCGTGTGTTAGTTCACGCTATACGTATGTTAGTGCACTCTATACGTGTGTTAGTGCACGCTATATGTGTGTCATTGCACGCTATACGTGTATTAGTGCATGATACACGTGTGTTAGTGCACGCTACCCGTGTGTTAGTGCACGCTATACGTGTATTAGTGCATGATACACGTGTGTTAGTGCACGCTATACGTGTGTTAGTGCACGCTATACGTGTGTTAGTGCACGCTATACGTGTGTTAGTGCACGCTATACGTGTGTTAGTGCACGCTATACGTGTATTAGTGCATGATACACGTGTGTTAGTGCACGCTACCCGTGTGTTAGTGCACGCTATACGTGTATTAGTGCACGCTATACGTGTATTAGTGCGTGATACACGTGTGTTAGTGCACG